TGGATGCAGGACCAGGCATAGGATCTAGGATAGGTACTCATATGGAGTATAAACACCAGCTGGGCTGGATGGGCCGAATGGCCTATTTCTGAGCTGTATCTTCTATGAGCATGCCTGTAAGACATCAAGTACAGGATAAGCATTAAGTTCTTTAAACTGAAAGTCCACATAACTGATCATCCCAGCAGTTAAATCCTTCAGTGTTGCTTTGGGAGGGGGAAGTGTGAAGTGATAGGAAAGAGATCGCATTGTCTGGACCTCTCTTTGCTATGATCTCTATTACTCCCAATGTGGGGGAGTAAGCAGGCGTGCTTCTTGGGGTTGAGCTGGCTCCAAGGTTACGGGCTTGGCGGATGGGAATGTCAGAATCTATTTACCCTCTGCGGTGTTCATACTAACCCAGTTTCTGAGCCAGCTGGCCCTCTACAGTATTCCAGGGCACTGCTGATGACACCACGGCCAGCCTTGGAGGGGGCAAACAGATCACTGGAAGAAGGGATTCTGGCACCTGTGAACGCTGCACGCCCAAAACTAACAGGGAGAACACGCAGTGGAATTATACCAGTTAATGCATTCAGTGGCAAGCTACAGTTTTAACTGGTTAAACTCCAGCATTTTGGGACATATGTGCATTTGACCGCCAGGAAGGTTGAAGGCAAACTAGATGGACCTTGGTCTTTTTTTTGTCTAGCATTTCTTACATTTTTTTGTCTAGCATTTCTTATGTTCAAGTACCCGACATACATTCTTGGGTCCCCATGCCTTGGCTCTCACCAGCATAATACTAATACTCTGCTTAATATTCTCTGGAATTAGGGAGAAAAGGCACATTTCATTTTCAGACACACAGAAATGTCCATGTGTAGGTGAAAATACCTAGGGGAAATGGTTTGGTATCCTTTTATAGATTGGTCTTGGTCATTCTATGCTATCTTTCTTCTCTTCTCCAAAGTGGGAGGTGGGAGGGAGATGTAAGTCGGGGATGGTCTGGAATACTTTCCTACATTCTTTTTCCTCCAGAAATTGATGAAGGATCCTCCAGAAATCGATGAAGGATGGTACATTTCCTTTCTTCGCGCCCCCTACCCCCCCAAAAAAATGTTTTAAATAGAGTGTCTGAAATCTGCAGATTTAGAACCTGCATATTAGTGTGCTAATATTAGCACAGAACAAGCAGTAAATATCAACCCAGTCGGAAAATTTATGCGTGAAAGGAATTTGCTCAAAACTGTTTCTGTTCCCTTGTTTATTGAGCGCTTGTTATCTATAAAATAATATTGTGCTGTTATCAGTAAACTAGTAACATTTTTAATCCACCACAGATTATTTTGTGAATTTTTACACTGCCAGAGTATTGAGTGCTTGTTCCAGAGGTTTTACATCTAAAGCATTCATTGCTTCAGTTCTGTGTATTATGTTCAGAGGTTTCAGTAAGCTGCAAAATTCATTGTTGCTGGAAATCGGTCAGTGAAGTGAGATGTAAACTTTGTTTTGTAGGAAGAAGCAAATATTTCTGAATTTGCTCAGTGGCAATTTGGTCATTCAAACCATACTGTCACTCCCCAGTAGCCTTGTGGATAAAACTAATGGATAACAACAAGATAACAGGGTGTTTCCTCCTATTTTCTCTCTCTGCTGCCCTCCTCTTTGTCCTCTCGTGAAGGCGTTAATTATTAATGGTGTACTGATCCATAGGCATTGTAGTGGGTACATTAATTTGGATTGAGAAAGTAAACACAAAACCGTACTATAGGATAATAATAATCCTTGCATTTGATATAGCGCTTTTCAAAGCGTCTCTAGACGTCTCAAAGCGCTTCACAGAGTATGCTGTAAAGTGAATTGACCAAATGTTTGTGGACGAAACACGGCAGCCAATTGCGCACAGCAGTGTCCCACAAACAGATGCACCAAGTTAGCAGAACAAGAGCAGATGGATTTAGAGTTTGTAAAGGGCAATTTCAGGACAGGAGAACTGGAAGGTTTTCTTTACCAGGGGGTACTGAACAACTGGAACAGGATGGGTGATTGAGGCCAGTACATTGGAATTCATTTATAAAAAACAGTGTGATGACCAAAGGGTGGCGAACTGAAAGGATGAGATCACGTGAAACGACGGTTTGGTTACCTGAACTGTTGTTGTAGTAGTATGACCCGCGTCAACTTGATTCAGGTGTTTGCACTATCACCTCTGAGTCAGAAAGTGTGTTCCAACCTTGTGTTGAGGACTTTAAGATCATAGACTAGGCTGACACTCCAATCTGGTGCTGGGGAGCGCTGTGTTGTCAGAACTGCTGTCCTTCAAGTGAGAAGTTGAAATTGAGATCCTGTCCGCCTGTTCAAGTGGATTATGGAATAAATATTGGAAATTCTCCTGGTGTCCTAGCCAATAACCCACCCAGGTAAAAGCAAAAATTGGTCAGTCACTTCAGGGATGTTTGTGTGACTTTGATGTGTGCAAATTGACTGTCGTGTTCACCTACAAATACTATCACTGCACTTACAGAAATTCTGTGACACTTCCACTTGACAAAGTGCTATATCAAACGCAAAGATCATTGCCAACAGTGAGAATTGAGTAAGTCTAGATGGTGAGCACTAGCAGACAATTTGACTGGAAGCCATTCCAGCCGTGTCTAGTCAGGTCTGCATTGACTCACAAACCAGCAGGTACACGGATACCGATCAGAAGTGGAGAAACTTGGCTGAGTTCTTTGCTGCGCTGAGCTAACACTGACGCCCAATTGTAGCATCTCCAGCTCATGTCCCTGATGAGATCAGCTAACTCAACAAGGATCATACCTGTTGTCATTAGTCTGCAAGGCTTCACATTTATTTACTCGTGCAGCGTGAGAGACAACAGGATCTTAAACGTCAGATTGCATAGAACGAATTCTGCATGACCAAGGAAGGCATCCATTAGGAAGTTAAAAAAATACTTCTTAAATATTTGCGAATGGAGAGATAGCTTTGCAAGCAGTGTCTAATTATCCGTTAAGTTTGCTGAATTCTGATGGAGTACTCAATAAAATGTACATGTAAATGTGAGCGAAATGTAAAGTGATTCACTTTGGTAGAGAAAAAGGGGGAAGAGAATCTACACAGAATGGCAATATCTTGCAAGGAACTGAGGAGCAAAGGGATTTGGGAGGGCAGGTAAGTAAGTGAATGTGGGAAAGGCTTTAAAGAAAGCTAATAGCATGGGCATAGAGTACAAAAGTAAAGCAATAATGCTGAACAAATCATTGCTTAGGTCACAAATGGAATACTGATTCTAGTTTTGGATATCTCACTTTAGGAAAGCTATTAAGACCTAAGAGGGGGCACAGAAGGTTTTGAGAATGATTTCTGGGGATAAAGTTGTCATTGCTTTGTGAGCCGATGTGGACTTGATGGGTCGAATGGCCTCTTTCTGTGCTGTAGATTATGTTTCTAAATGTCAATCTCTGTTGTGAAGAAGCAAAAGTGAATTACCAATTTACCACCAACAACAACAAATTGTATTCATGTAGCGCCTTTCACATTGGGAGGATTTCCCAAGGTGCTGGACGGCTGAGGGTTTGTACCCGAACTGGGGGTTGGATTCGGGAGGGAGTGGGTGTGGAAGATGACCGAAGCCGTGGTCAAAGTGGAAGGTCTTGAAGGAGGTGAGAGAGGAGGACAGACTAAAGTATCCGTGATGGATTTCCAGAGAGTGGGGGCAGAAAGGCTGAAGGCCCAACTGCTGATATTGGGTTGGTAGGGTGGGGACATGTGCCAGCTGAGCGGAGGGAGCAGGCAAATTGGTATGGTTTTATCCCATCATCAGTCACAGCATATAACTGCCCCGAAATACACTTTCACACTATGCAGTGATTGACATCAACAGAGACCATAGATATTCAAAGGATGAAAATATTTACTATTATGTATGTGACCTTCCTCTCCCCTCTTCCCCCCCCCCCCCCCCCACCACGGTTCTTTTATCAAGGAAGTGAAAATTGAGATATGTGATGAGATAATTATCACATGATCAAAATCAAGGTTTGAGACTGTCGATAACCGAAGACTGTCCTTGGATATGAATGCTTTTCTCTCTCTCTCGCCTTGTTCTCGCTCAACCTTCTGGAGGGTCTGGGGCTTGGATGCTAAGCTTCTGTGGCTGCGATTAGGGTTGGCTTCTCAGTAATCCAAAAAACAAAGCGGCACTGAAATGTAGTGTTCCTCGGCTGTCAAATCCTGCAGCAACCATCGGCAGTTACAGGCTTTATCATTCAACAATGGCTCGGGAGGGAAAGTGGAGAGGATAGGTCTGGGGCCCAGCTTTAGTTATCGAATGGCTCAACTGCAATTTTCAAAGATGTGATAATTATCATAAGAAATGTAGCAATTTTCGGACCAAGGTCTTTCTGCCTAGAGAAAACCTACAGTTTATGAAAATCCAGATTAGGTGATCAAGATTCAGAATTAATTTGCGAGCCTGACACATTTTAGATCAGTGGCACGCTCTGATGTCAGACACAATAACTTGCATTTACATAGTGCCCTTTATACGGGCAGTGTCTAGGTAAACAGGCGTGTGGAGTAAGGAAACTTGCCCAAGATTTCACCCTGCTGGGAATCGAACCCAGGTCTCTCACTTGCGAGGCAAGTGCTCTAACCACTGAGCTACATGACACAGGAAACGTGTATCAAGGCAGTGTTCAAAACTATATTCATTTTTGTTGTCTTGGCAATTTTCTCCTCTTTCCCTCTTGGATCCTCTGGTGACTCTTGCATTCATCGTAGCCATGAACAAGGAAGTGGGAGTGAGGAACAAGCAATTGGCTCAGAGTTAAGAGTGGAGGACACAGGCAGAAAAATGGGAATAGACGAGTTTGCAGAGGTAGGGAGTGACTTGATTGTGATAGGATCTAAAGCTTTGAATGAGGACCTTGAAGTCAATCTGTTGGAGCCAGTGGAGCCTGGGGGGTAATGGGCATGTAGAATCTGATGGAGGAGGGAATACTGTCTGCAGAGTTATGAATGAGTTATACCTGAAGGAGAGTGAAAGTATGGAGGAGAGCATTGGAGGTATGTAGCCTCGAGCTGATGAAAAGCATAATTGAGGGTTTTAGTTGGAGAGGCGGGAGATAGGGGTAAAGGCAGCAATGTTAAGGATTTCAGCAGCAAAATTCAATTAAAATTTGTTCACTTGAATCGTGCTCTGTGAAGGATAGCAAGTCCTGACACATCCACTATTTGTCACAGAGCGGGATGGGGTTTTGTTTAAAGGTCGTTTGTGTGTGACGGCAGGGCACAGTTCAGCAAACATGGGCTGCACCTTGTCTTTCAGTGGTAAAGTAGAAGATAAGGCGCCCAAACGCTACTGTGTGTGGGCCGATTGGTCCGCCAGCAGAGCGAGAGTTGTACTCCCCTGACGGACCCATTTTCACGGCCCAGCCTTGACTGACATTCAGACTGCAGTCCTTTACAGTGAGTGAGTTTCCTGGTTTATCGGCTACACTGTTGAATGGAATGGCATGTGGTAGTTAAGCACGTCGTCTCTGGGGGAGGGTGGGACGGGGAGGTGGGGAGCGCACACGGGATGCTGAGGAGATTACCAGGGTGAACCTATCCTGATTTGGAAACTTGCCTACTGTCAACTGATATGGAGTGGCATTGATAAGTGGGTATGGCAGGGAGAGGAGTTTGTAGCCCAACTTGTGGCACCCTATGGACTAAAGTACAATTTGCAGATAAGAAAACAGATAACACGGGGGAAATGAGTTGTGCAGCAAAAACAAACTGAAAACATTCACTCCAACATACTTGTCGTTCTTTGGTTGCCCACAGTCAACTTGAATTCTGTTGGGTCTTGTGCCGTTCTATCAAATCATCGGCCTATTAATAATCCTTGCATTTGATGTAGCACTTTTCACGTCTTCTAGACGTTACAAAGCGCTTCACAGAATATACTGTAAAGTGAATTGACTGTATATTTGTGGGCGAAATGTGCCAGCCAATACATACAGCAGTGTCCCACAAACAGTCGTGGATTGAAATGATCAATTTATTATTATTTTTTTTTCTTGAGGGATTATTATCAGGCTGTGGAGTAAGGAAACTTGCTCAAGGTTTCACCCTGCCGGGAATCAAACCCAGGTATCTTGCTTGCAAAGTGAGTGCTCTAACCACTGAGTTACAGGACTCCACTATTATATTAGTGGGGCAGAAAATGAGGTTTTAAAACCTGACTCCTGACAGTAACAACAGCTTGCATTTATATAGCATGCTTCACTTAGGGTAACATTGAAACACATCACAGATTGAATTGGATACTGAGCAAGGGAGGGGGGGAGTTGGGGTCGTGGGGGGAAGGTAGCCAATGGCAGGAGATAGTATTTGAGACGAGACTTAAAGGCAGAAAAAGAGGAGACGAGACAGACTCACGAGGGAATTCCAGAAGGTAGGGGCGTAGTGGAGACTTGGCCATTGATGGTGGTGCGGAGTGGGCAGGGGATATGCATCAGGTCCGAGTTCATTGAGCGGAGAGGGCAAATGGAGGAGTGGGGTAGGAGGAGATCAGTGAGATAAGGGGGTGCCAGTGAATGGATGAATTTGGAAGTGAGGGTGAGGACCTGGGCGATGTGGAGACTGGTGAGGATAGGGGTGATGGGTGCATAGCATTTGGTGCAAACAATGGAGTTTTGGACAAGTTGCAGGGGGAGACTAGTGAGGAATGCTTAACCACAAGTATATCATGGCAACCCATGGGAATTCTGCTCTAATAGGATCTACTTCCAGAATCAGGTTCACTTCTACCATGTCTGGGCAAGAGTTGTTCTTGTGACTCTGAGTCACTATTTATTAAATCCAGGCAATCCATCTTTTCCACTCCTCAGTGTAACATGTTGCTAACATATGCACTGATTGCAGTGATTAACTTAATAGTTTGTCTGCAAACCACAATCACTGCGCTTTACAGCAAATTCTGTGAAGCGCTTTGAGACGTCCTCCTAATGTGAGAAGGCACTATATAAGATGCAAAGATGTTTATTATTATTTATCTCAAGATAGAGTGACCTGACTGGCTTGTATATCTTGGTCTGCCAAATTTTAAGAAACTAGTAACCAAACATTTAACAAACTCTGGTGTGCGGGAAAACCTCCCTCTTACCTTCCTTCCCTGTTCCATGATCCGCATTATCTGTAAAGAGATTTGAGATATTCATCCTGCATGAAAGGTGCTGTCCTTAAGTGCGAATTGTGAAAATATAATAAGATTCAGTAGGTCAGAAAAATTGAGGAATTTCCCAATTGTGTAACTGCTACGATCTAACTATTCTTGCATTGCCATGTGCAATGTTTCTGGGTGAGGGATCGTTCTGTACAGTACTTGTTATGTGCTGGGCTTGGTCGGTGACCATGACATATCTAGGGGGAGGCGTACTGTATTCAGCAAGCCCGCGCACGTTCCATTTATATAAATCATCAGTTATTGTTTCCTGGGTCCCAGAGCACATTAAGCAGTGTGACAATACAATCCTTGAGAAAAGTTGGGAATCAGCATTTGACGTCTTCAAGGGTAATCGTGCTGCAGCCCCCAAACACTGATGCGGAACACAGTGTCTCTACCAGAGATTGACAGCGGCTCATGATTTGGCAAGTGTTTCCTACCCCACCCCCCCCCCCAACCGTGCAAAGCAGACTACTTCAGATCAGACGCATTTTAATTTCTATTTTAATTTCTGGTATCCAGTGAGCAAACAGCTCAGTTCATCCCTGTCTTCCTTCACTGTTGAATGTTCATTATGACTTCCTGGAATATAGTGGACCGAATTTTTGATGCCTTGTTAACTAACATGAATAATCCTTGCATTTGATGTGGCGCCTTATCATGTCTTCTAGATGTCTCAAAGCGCTTCACAGATTGTACAGTAAAGTGGAGTGATTGTATATTTTGTGGGTGAACATGGCAGCCAATTTGCGCACAGCAATGTCCCACAAACAGATATGAAGTGAGTGACCAATTTTATTAGGGAGTTTGTGGCCAAGACACCAGAGAAGCTCCCTCCTTCAAAGAGTGCCTGGGATTTTTAACTTCCATGTAAACAGGTCAAAGTAGCAAATATAAATAAAATAATAAATCAATAAATAATAATAAAGAAGGCTTCTTATCTGCACATATTGAGACAGGACCCATTGTAGTTTTGCAAAATACAAATTGGCTACTATGCTAACCAAAAGCTTCTGTCATCAGGAATTATTCTGTCACTATCTCTTTTTCTCTCACAGGTACAACTTTCGGTCTCAGCTTCTTTCTCTACCTTTCTATCTCTCTAGCTGATATTCCTTACCTGAAACCTAAAATTATTGAATAAATACACTTACCTGACTTACCCAGTTCACAGTCTGGCAAGGGCAAATTGCAGACCCAGGAAACGTGTGGACGACTGCACTTTTTGTTTGCCGAACAGAGTTTATTTTGCAGAGGTATATGTAACATGCTAGATACATGTAGCAGGCTTCTTCCCTCAACCTCCAATATCTTGATCAAGTGGACCATTATTTATGCGTGAGCTCCGGCAGTATTAGCACGTTATTGGACCAGGGTTTGGGGCATCGTAGCTGAGCCTGATCCTGTCCAGATATAATGAGAGCACATGCACACCTGCAAGGATTACTGAATAGTTATCAGAAGCAGGAACCCTAGTTGATCTTTTCCCCTCTAACCCAGGAGCACAAAGCCAATTTTGGTATCTCCAGTGACATTCTGGCTAAGTCATCACAGACCAGGGATTGAACCTGGGACATTGGAGTCTGTGTGGCTCAGCTACTCACTCAGTAAACTTGAAGAGCTATCATGAGAGCTAACAACTGAATTTGTGTTTGTTTTTTTAAATTCTGCACAGTATAACAACTACTGGATATGTAAAATGCAGCAATGTAAGACTAACAAACCATTTGAACCGCTCGATCAGTTTACTGCTATAGGAAACTGCTGACTTTGATCCAGAACCCTAGTGTCTTAATATATGTCTGTACTACAGTATTCACTATGCTTCTTTTTAATCTGATTATTGAATGGAGATTAGTTTCTGCAGCTCATGTCCAAATGAATGTCTAAAACTAGGGAGCACAAATATAGAAAAGCTACTAGTGGATCTAGTAGGGAATTTAAGAGGAGATTCTTGATTCAGAGGGTGGTGAGAATATCAAACTGACTGCTGGAAACTGGTTGAAACAGAAAGCAGGAAAGGATGCATACATGAAGGAGAACGGAATAGAGGGGTATGGGAGAGGGGATTGGGAGGGATGGACACTCATTTGAAGTATAACTATTAATATAACAACAACTTGCACTTAGATGCTACCCTGCCCTCCACGCAGAGCGCTTAATACAGACTAATTGAGCTTAATAGCCTGTTTCTGTCCTGTAACATTCTATGTAATTCTATAAAATGAAGCAATACTGAAGCATCTGGTCAAAGACAGGTGAGAATTGAACACTAATTTTACTTCTGCCTTTACCCATCCCACCTCCTTTACCCTCACCAGTACTTTTGTTTTGTCTAGTCAGGTTTTCTGTCTGACATAGAAACCCTTCACTATGCTTGAGTGTCCAAACCAAATTGGAAGTTCCACATATGCATGGAAATTGTCATCTTTCATCCTTCCCCACCCCCATACTTGAAATTATGTGAGGTTTTAACTATTAAGTCACTTCAGGGGACAAGTACTGGACCAATTGCACGATGTTTGAAAAGTGCTACAATGAGTTGCTTTGGAATGTTTGTTTGTTCATTTGATCAGATTTTTTAAAAATACAAAGAAAACTGCATTGCTTGCATTGCTCTATTCACTCAGACTGCTGTTCAGAGGTAGATTTGTTCACTGGAACCTAGATTGGAAAAAGAGAGTACTGAATGTTCCCACAGCATGACCAGTTGGCCGGAGGGCTGTTTCTTTCCTTTCTTGTGGTTTATCTCCTTTTGAGTCTAACTCGAGGAAGCGTTGCCTTATAATTCCTTTGGCTCTTGCGTTGTGCAGTGGATTTTTCTAAACAATCAGCACTGCAGTCAAACGGTTAA